GGAAAAAAAAAAAAAAAAAAAAAAAAAAAAAAAAAAAAAAAAAAAAAAGAAGGGGAGTCAGAGACTTAAATAGTTCAAAGTGGCAAATAAAATGATAAAGCTATTATCTATATCCATATCCATATGCATACCCATATGTAGTCCCATTCCCATAACCATAACAATAACCATAACGATAACTATATTTATTATGGGACTATATAGAGGAGAGATACCTGACTTAATAGTTGAGGGACATGAATAACATCAAAAGAAAATTTTCTGTTGAAGACATGCCTTGGCTGAATCTTAAAGATTAGAATCTAACCAGGTTGAGTTTGTGTATGTATTGAGTGCATGTGTATGTGTGTAGAGGTGTCTGTGTGTTTTGGAGAACAAGGAAAATGGGTGGGATATTCCTGGAAGTAAGTTGGAACAAAAGCTTGGAGGTGAGGAACACTGTGAGGTTTCTGGAGTGTATAGTGTGTCTGGGCGAGTGTGAGATTGGGGTGGGGCACATGAGCAGCCCGTGGACAAAGGGGAACCATGTGTGTGGGAGCAAGGGGATATGTAGTCAGATTTACATGCTGCGGGGGTTGCTGTGCTGACAATCGGGAGGATAAATGGAACACAGCAAGGCTCAGGGCACATCTGTGGAGTAAGCTGCTCACATGAGAGATGACGAGGGCTTCCCTCACTTAGCGTTGGTGGTGGGGATTTAGAGGGGAGTCAAGAAATTTTTAGAAAATAAAGTCAGATATATATACCTATCCTACATGTCTTTCATTAGATTTGTTTCTAGGTATGACATAGTTTCTGTTAATTATAAATTATATATTTTAAAAATAATGCTATTTAATTTTCATGGTGAAATATTATGTAGCAGTAAAGTTAGTGAACTGCAGCCATATGCGTCAACCTGAATGAATCTTAGCAGCGTAATGTTCAGTGAATAAAGCAAATCCCAGGTGAATGACTTCATTTTCATGAAGCTCAAAATCAAGCAAAACTAAGCAATGGTTTTTTTAGGGATACATATGTATGCAGTAAACCAGTATAGAAAAGGACAAAACAAAAACAAAATTAAGGGTGCTGGTTAACTCTCATGGAGGGGGAGGGGAGGGAGAGGATTGGAAGGGGAAATAGATAGTGAGTGTCATGGTATTGGACAGTTCTGATTGTGTGTTTGTGGGTCCATGGGTGCTAGTTTTATTATAATTCATTATATATGTCAAATGTATTCTTTTGTTTTATTAAATATATTAAAATGAGAGTAAAGGAAAATATACGACAGGTAGAAATAAGGACAAGACCAGGTTTCTAGCTTGGGCTACTAGATCAATGAAGGTGATATCAAATAAATAGAGAAAACTTAAGGTTTATTCAGGGAAAGTAATGAGTTGAGGTTCTTGAAGCATAGCCAAGCAGATGAATATGCAAGTCTGTAGTTTGGGGGGAAAATGTAGGCTAGATGTGCAGATTTGTAAGTCATAAATACACAAGTTGTCTTTCAAACCAAAAAGTGGATCAAATCACCTAGGAGGAATTCAAAACAAAAACTAAAAAAGAGTGAATAAGAAGAGAATCCTGGGGAGCACCAACACTGAAGTGTGAGAGAGAGAAACCCAGACAGAGGAAAAATGGATCAAAAGATGGGAGGAAAACCTAGAGGAAGCCAGGGGGTTGAGTTTCATGAAGGTGTGTGTATGTTTTTTGGGGGGGTGTGGGGGGTGATTATCAGTGTCAGATGCAGCCAGGCTATTTAGTAAGGTGGGACCTGGAGTTAGGAGGTTTGAGCTTACCTTAGTGAACTCTGTTTCAGAGCAGTGGGGACTGTGTTTCAGAGCATGGGGACGGGTGACTGGGAAGCGTGACAGTGGGCACAAAGGATGTATAGTACATATGAGAGTACTGCAGTCATATGAGAGTGCTGTGTTGAATAGTGTCCTCCCCAAATTCACATTCTCCTGGAACATCAGAATATGATCTTATTTGGAAATAGTGTATTTGCAGATGAAATCAAGTTAACATGAGGTGTCAAGTTAAGGCTGGATTAGGATGGGCTCGAATCCAATGACTGGTGTCCTTATAAGATGAGGGAAATTTGGACACAGACACACAGGGAGAATGCCATATGACAAGAGAGGCAAAGATTGGAATGATGCATCTGCAAACCAAGGAACGTCAAGGACTGATGGCAACCACTTGGGGATAAGAGGACAGTATGGGACAGATGCTTCCCCAGAGCCTTCAGAGAGAGAGAGAGAGGCCCAGCCAACACCTTGATTTTGGACTTCTAGACTGCAGAATCGTGAAAGAATAAAATTTCTGTTGTTTTAAGGCACACAGTTTGTTAACAGTTTGTTATAGGAGCTCCAGGAAACAAATATAGCACTTGAATGTGTTCACCAACCTGGAAGCTCTGCAAACCCTTTTGGTTAGGGGTTTTTATGCAGGTTCTATTACTTAGGCATGAGTGATTAAATCTTTGACCATTGGTGATCAATCTCCGGCCCTATCCTGAAACTATTCAGGGTCCTATCATGAGTCACTGCATTAGCATACACTCAGGTGTGGTTGAAATGGGCTTGTTATGACCAACAAAAGACACTCCTCTTACCCCTATCACTCAGGAAGCTCAAAGTGTTCTAGAAGCTCTGTGTCAGGAACTGTGGGCAGAGAGCTAACATATGTTTCTTTTTATGTCACACTGACCATCTGGTCCATACAGATACTCCCTGTTGGATTCCCCTTGCCCTCCCAGGTGACCTTCCTGAACAGCACTTAAATGTCTCGTGGGCAGCTTCTTTTCCCACATGGTGCACTTCTCTTCCATGGGAAATGCTAAGTATTCTGTCCTCTGCCCTGATGCTGTGGTTGTACAGGCTGGACAATCTGTTACCATAGGCGTGAGCTTTCTCTGGCCTCAGTCAGGCCCTACGGCCTCAGTGTAGGTGCAGGATTTCAGGCTTTCTGGAAGGCCTCTGACTAAGCCTGAGGTAGGAAAGAGGCCATCTCCCTACCCTGCCCCTCCATGGCAGAGGGTGGAGTTCACAAATCTTCACTTTTCCTGAGCCCTGCACTGTTAAATTCTTAGAAGCATTAAGGGGGTCCAAGAGGTAAAAAAAAAAATAGGTTCTGAGGCATTTCCTCTGCCAGTTCTACACATGGTGGCAGTCTCATACCTAAAGATTTCCCTTGTAACTAAAACACGGCTCTGTGAGGATGTGGCTTGGTATGGTGAAACGAGCTCCCGACCAGGGGTGAAATGACCCGAGTCCTCATATTTCCACCTTTTTTTTTTTTTAAGTTTTGTGACTTTATAAAGAAACCACTTAATCTCTTTGATTATTACTTTCCATAAAATGGTCTAGAGATCGAATGGGATAGTGCAAATGAAGGAGCTTTGAACATTACACATATGCTAAACAAGCGAAAATGCTCTGTTACTTCAAGTACTTTCTCTGCTGTTGAGGCGCCTAATGAGCACGATTCTGTGAACACAGAAACTCAGAGCTTCCCTTTTATTTTTCTTCTGATACTAAAAATATTGGTCTCAAGGGATTATTATAGTTGGAGTGGAAGTCCATTCTTATGCCACATTTGTTTATTGAGCCGTACTAAGGAAAAAATGGGAGTAAATTTAAACATTGTTTTTAATTTTTTATTGGAACAAATGAATGATTGCTAAACTCAGGTAAATTTTAAAGATCAAATGCAAAATTCTTCTGTTGTTGTGTTGTCCTAGTGTGAACTTTGATGGTTACAGCTGGCGCTTGTAGGTATGCCTCAGATTCGGCCTTCCCTTGGATCATTTAGCTTCTCTGGAGGAAAGCTTTATTCCTAGAAAAGCTGTAATAATTGTTATTATTTTAATAACTACTTTTATACAACACTTAGCATGTACATGCTTACCAGTCACTTGTTTAAGTGCTTTGCACATACTGATTTATCTAATCCTCACAACAGTCCTATGAGGTTAGGTGACAGGATTATTCCCATTTTACGTAGAGGAAACTGAGGCATGGAGAAGTTATAATTTACTCAGGATAATGATACTTACTTCCCAAGGTTATGATGGGTATTACCATGAGATAATGTGCTTGGTGTGTAACAGATTCTCTGTCATTTTAAATTTACTCTAAGGATCAGGAGCTAGTAATTATAGAAGTCCATGTGACTTTGGAGCTTGAACTTGGGCAAAACCACAGGTTTTGGCGGAAACAGATAAAAATAAGCACTTATTTAGCTTAGACAGTTCATTTCTTCTGCAACCTACTCCTATTTTCACTTTTTAGATGGAATAGTTTGAAGCACAAAAAAATCATTGTATCTGGAAATAATTTTTTAGCAATTCAGTAAAAAACTCAGAACTATTAAAGAGTAATAAAGGTAAGACCATGGATATTAAACATTTTAAGGGTAACACTTTTGGAAAACCTTGACTTTGAGAATGTATGGGTATATTATTATTATTATTCCCATTTTACATAGGAGGAAACTGAGGCACAGATAAGTTACAGGTTAACCAGGATGATAATATCTATTTTCCAGAATTTTTGTGGGTATTAACTGGAGTTAATATGTGTTATTTTGTATTCTGACTTATGCAGCAAATGTGTTTTAAGAGTATATGTGTACAGTAAGTTTTTGGATTAAAATTCTATTTTACATGTGATAAATGAAAAGATTTTTATAGTAAGGTGTATAATTACCTTCCAAATCATCTTTGGGATGAGTATGAATTTTTTTATGCAATGCAGTTTCATCTTATGCAGCTACTGCATTCTAAAATCAGCTTTTAAGGCGAAGATGGGGTATAGTCATAATCACCAGTGGGACAACAAAATGCAGTACTGGGTAAATGGTGTTGTATATACAACTAAAAGTTTTTCTAACTTTTTACTTATTATTGTTTATCAGTGGTCCTCAATTAGTTCTTTAATTTCTTCTTTCAGGATGTTAACAAAGACGAATCAGGTAGCTGTTACCAGAATTCAGTTTTGTTTTCTGTGGAAATGTCTTTTCCTAACAGATTATAAAAACCAAAGTGCTTGTCAAATTTCAGTCATTACATTTATGTTCATCACTTAAAGAGCATAATAATAATAACAGTAGCTTACATCTTTTACATTCTTAGTATGAAATGGGTATGGTGCTAAATGCCTTATGTGCATTGTCTCATTTAACATTGGCCCACAAAGAGGGGTACATTCTGTCTTTATATTCTTCCATAAATGCTTTATGCTTTCATTCTTTCATTCCGCATTTTTTTTTAATTTGATATTTTTATTTGCCCAGCTAGTTTATTCCCAATTATCTTTTGCTTTTTATCTTTGGTGCTTTTGTTACACATTTGTTTGTAGTTTTAAATGTCTTCTTTTCTCTTCTTGGTTTTTTCCCAATTCTGCCTATCCTCCTAAATTTAGCTCAGACTATACTTTTTCCATGAATCCTTTACAGACCATCCGAGCCTAAAAAGACCTCTACTTCTGGGAAATTCACACAGCACCAAGGTACACCATTCATTTGACAATTACTCATGATGGTGTTTTCTATCTTGAAATCTTATTTAAATATTTTTTTTTGGTGGCTGGCTGGTGAAAGAAAGTGAGCCGAGATGCCAGGTACTGATCAAGCTTTATTAAAGGAAAAGAACCTGAGAGTGGACGGCAGCCCGTGGCTGCCCTTGAAATGGAGGACAGCACCAGGTGTGGGGATGGTATATAGGGCTCCAAGGGCTGGCTGATACCATGAAGGAGGGGCATTATGCTAATGTGGAAACTATGCAACCAGGGTGGAGAACTGCACCCTTGCAGAAGCAAAAGGGTTTCTGTTTAAGTCAGGAGGCTTCTTGTAAAGGGAAGGGGGATGGGTTTGGTGCTGGAGTGGAAGACAAGGCTGGCGGCTATTTTGTACTTATTGTGTGCACAATGGCTCTGGTCATGTCCAAGATCTATCAGCTGGTATTCATGGTTTTTTTATTTTTTGTTTTTGGTGGCTGGGTGGTATGGGGATCCAAACCCTTGACC